GGAGGATGATAATGATTGACACGGCCTTTGCAACCCGGCAGTACTCTTCACACTTCCAATAGTTCCACTTCGCTTGAGGTACTTGGTGTCAATTTCTTCTCGTGCCCACGCTGATGAGAGTTTGCCGACTGCATATGTGACTGGGGAAGGTAACGCGAGTCGTGGAACTTGGTTGATCCCTCCTTCTTGCTGCTGAGAAGCCGAATCCATTGCTTAGGCCCTCGCCAGTTACGGAGCAGAGGACCCAGGGTAAGCATGGAGCCCACGACAATGAAGATGGGTGGCTCGAGAAGCGCCCAAAGAATATTATAAATGAAGGGCACTACAGAAATACCATACATCACGTTAGCAAACGCGTACTCCAAGAACTGAGAATGGGATGAAACCCGGGAAAACCTACCCTCAAACATGCTACTGATAGTCGCAGGCTCCTTAGTCCACTGAACGGCATAGTACAGTCGAACAAGTGATGCCGCCATGCAGCTATTCCACACCCGACAATTAATAAATTATCACAGGGATCGATGGGAGAGATTAGGATGACTTACGTGCTTCCCAAGACAAAGATCACAGACATAAACAGCTTCTTTGATTGATCCATCTGCAATTTCTGTACGGCAGCGATTGGAAGAGCCAGCGTCAGAAGATCGAATAAGCTATTGCCTGCAACATAACAAATAAGGATCGCCGACGCGTTGATATCGTAGGGGGCGGTCGGGTCCCATTGCAGGTAGACCGGCCATTTTGAGAAGATAACCGCCAGTACAATAGCCAAGGTGAAGCTGGAGATCAAAGCAATGAGCACATTGCTCGCCATGACAAACGGACGGGAGATGCCGAAGATCCGCCGGTAGAAGAAGAGCAAAGAAACTTTGATGACTCCCATTGTGGCGATCTGAGCATTTTCGCAAGCGAAGTTTACCTTCAATGCGAAGATGATCGCCTCCATGGTTGGCTGATACTCAGGGTCTCCGATGCCGGTAACAGCATCGGTGTAGTCGATGATAATGCTAATCCCACAAGAAAGAATCTAGTGGCGAACATTGAATGTTAACATCATGAATGATGGGATGGGATGGTGATAGGACTTACCAGGGCGAGGATAATTGTCCAGTCATCGGCACCCAAGTAGAGCTTGGAATATATCCGGGCGTAGACACGGAGTGCAACCGCCAGAATGGCTAGAACGCCTAGAATTGTGGTCACAATGATGATCGCCTTGGCCGTACTGGTAATACCATGACCTTCATAGTACAACATCTTGACGGATCAACTTGCAGACGAGCGGTAGGGAGAAAGAGGGGAACAAGCAATGATGATGGCAGAGGCGCGACTGCCAAAAGTCATTCCCTTATAATACCTGGAAGAGAATGATGCATGTTTTTTGGCTGAGACGTGAGGGGGCAGGAGACAGCCGGGCTGAATGAATGTAAAGTTAGCCCATCATTCGTCTGCCACCGTCAGTCTGACTGTAGCGACTGTATAGCCCCCATGCGCCAGGATCAGAGGCACACCACGTCTGCAACAGGGCTGTCGACATCGTCAGGTAAATCATACTAATGGTGGGGACCGAAGGATTCGCCTGCAAATACTTGACAATGGCCTGTGAGAAAGGCTGCAGAAATCACAATGACCTTGTCAGGCTAGGAAGAAGGAATGTGGAGGGAGGGAGGGAGGGCTGCGCTGCAGGGTTACAGCTCCTTCAAGGCAGCGAAGCTAGTGTATTGCACTGCCCGTACGGCTTAGGGTACTCGAAGAGAAATACGAAGGGTCATGGTGTCTCTGGGTCTCCAATAGAAAGTGCCAAGAAAGCTACTAATTGAAGCGTTTTCTCGAACAGCATTTGTCAGGCGGCCCGAGGGAAGTCCACGCTTCTTAGTTTCTCATTACTCCGGGGAAAGGATGGGTCTAGTACAGCGGCGATTTCACCTTATTCGATAGTCTGACTACGCACTAGAACACCGTGTCAGATTAAGTAGTGGGAATTCTTCAAATCGATCTGTTTATAGACCCTGAACTAAAAGTACTATCGACCGATTCAGCTTCCCCCGCACACTAGCCAGTTTCCACAACAACCCCTCTTTATGGCGCAAACCAGTGGCTTTAGCTTGCGTGTCTGCAGCCCGGAGGGCGAAGCCTGCTTACTACCTCGCTTAAGCACTGTTTCCATGTCAGTACACCTATTGGCCGTGCCAAGAAGGGGATAGAGGGACTTACGTATCCTCGTAAGTGATGAAGCGACTGTTCAGGACAGCCGAAGGATCACGTTCCTCGACTTCGTCTCTCTTGCTGACGGAGTCCTCGTACGTAATGAACCGACTGTTCAGCACAGCAGAGGGATCACGCTCTTCCACTTCATCTCTTTTGCTGATGGCGTCTTCGTAGGTGATGAAACGGGTGTTCAGCACAGCGGAAGCGTCACGTTCCTCGACGTCATCTCTCTTGTTGATGGTGTCCTCATAGGTGATGAATCGTGAGTTAAGCACTGCCGAGGGATCGCGTTCCTCAACCCCATCTCTCTTATTGATCCCATCCTCGTAAGTAATGAACCGCGTGTTTAGCACGGCAGATGCATCACGCTCCTCAACTTCGGATGGAGCTGCGACAGGTACCGCTCTGACAGAGCTGGCAAGGGTGAGAAGGGCCGCGAGTGCGCTCAACGCAGTACGCATATTGAAATAAAGTGGGAAGTCAAGGAGTAAGAAGGATGGTGATTTGAACTTCAACGAGCTTGGGGGAAAGAGCAAGAGATGAGTAGAGCAGTTGATTGCATCCGCCAGCACATAACGACACCACGAACCTGACCTCGAGCCTTATATGTATTTCGTACACTCTGCTGTATTCTAGGGTTCTTGGTGTACGACTGCTTGCCAAGACAGTTCCATACTAACCTCGTCGGATCTGAAATCCTCTGTGTTGGCGCCGGGCCAAGGGAATAGTGAGCGGCTGCATCGAATCCCTCCATCCTCACATCAGCCCATCGTAGACGTGTTCGGGCATTCACTCCAAAGCGGGTTGGCGTAGTATCTACTTAAAATCTCACTGTTCAAGGATCTCGCAAATGAAGATGTACAGGGCCTTCCACTTCGTTGCTGATGCGGCAGGAGCGGTTGGTCAAAGGCTAATGATCACGCCAAATGTCGAGTAGTCAATTTAATCATGCATGATTAACTCTCGCCAAGTACTTCCAGGCACTCTGTTGTTGCAACGCGCGGAAATTCGGCACCATTTGGCCCCCAATGGTGATATTAAGATCAATGATGAGGTACATTGATGTGAGTATGGAATGGTAGGGCGGATGAAGGTCGAGCTCGCTCCGAGGAGAATCACAGTCTTGGCTAGTTTGTGGACACTCCCCCTCCACCTCCCTGTTCCTCTGCATTGCCTTCTCTCCAAGGCAATTCCCCACGATTTCGTGTGTAATCTACGGAACATTTTGTGCCGAGTTATCCCCTCCGGTGCTCTGCCTTCTCCCTCTATCAACAATCTCTGCGTTTTGCATCTTCCTACTCCTTCCTACCTCCACCCCACACGGCCATTCATCAACCCTTGATATCATCATGGCCGGAGCCAGGATCGAAGACAGACAGAGCGAAGAACGCCTCATATCAAGTTTTGACGAGGAAAACTTCCTCAAAGACAGTCGAAGTCCTTCCACGAGAAGACCACGAAGGTGCCGGTATCACCCAAATGGGACTTTGATTTTATCTTCGTGGACTTTGTTTCTGTTTATAGCTTCTATCTACCTTTGGTCAACAATAGCTCGTCATCGAAAGACAGCTGCCGCATGTCAATGCGATGACTACCTACCTATCGATTCTCCAGCCTTAGAGGCCCTCGAGAACACAGGTCATATTGAAAAGTTCGACGGCAGCTTTGCAAAGCCCAATGCTTTCAAAGGACCACCAAGCCCTGCTATTGATGCTGCCTGGGATGACATAACTTATGCTTCTGGTAATATATCCCGAATGAACCCAGTTACAAGAACACGAGGCTTACAATCTGTCCAAAATAGGTGGGGTCATCAATGTTGATGAGCAAACACTTCAACATATCAATGCGTCCGAGTATTCGGTCGGTTTGGCTGAGGAGCTCGGCGGCGGCTACATGGGCTCGGTGGAGGTTCTGCATCAGCTACACTGTTTGAATATGCTCCGTCAAGCTAGTTACGAGGATTATTATAGGGACAAGCCGGGCCCGTGGGAGGATAGCCCGCAGATTCTACGGCATCATCTTGGTAAGTCATGACTTGGAAGACGTTCGAACACAATGGATGATTGAACAAATGTTGACAAATACCCGAAATAGATCATTGCATTGATATTTTACGACAAAAGGTAAGCCAGAAGGGTGTCCTGTGTAGCATATCCATCATTATCACTCAAAGGCAGAAATGGCTAATTGTTGTTACTTGCCAAATAGTTGATGTGTGATGCGGACGTTGGTATTTTGACATATGTGTGGGTGAAGGGGCATAAGGACCCATTTCCAGACTTCAATGTGTAAGAAACGTCACCCCTTCCCGCCCCTCTTTTCGCCCATCAACCCTCCGATACATATAGCGTTTTCGAATCAATCCTCCGATACATATAGCGTTCCCGAAAGAGCGGAAATATGCAGACACAAGGCTAACATTCAATGGCATTCGCAGGCACCATAAATGTCGCGATTTCCGCGCAGTGAAACAATGGGTCGGGCAGCATCAGCTCTATACAACACCCGAACATGGCATTGAGCGCCTTCCTGGAGCAAAGGAGATGCCTAGCCCACCGTAGATACTTGAAAGTTTCACAGACTACTATCTGCTACGAATATAATTTCGGACTTTTATTTCCACAGATAAAGGGCAAAGCCACGGCGCGTATTATTTCGAATGCAGGCTTTGTCAATATACCTTCTACATACTGAATTTTCGCTACATCTATCAAACGAGCATGTTTCAGAGGATATTTGGTGCAATATGTAATTACAAGTTTAGATTCAACTCTAACACCGCCAGATTATCTCTTCTGCGCCACAAGATGAGGAAAGATCCCACCCATTCTGACATGTTTACCCTCGATAGTCTCACTAACAGATGTCTTTAGTTTACGAAGTTGATCCAGATCTATTTTCCCGACATTGCCGTTTTCAACTGCAGTTCCGTTCTGAGACTGTTGCTGCTCCATTCTCATGAGCGCAGAGTGCAGAAAAAGGTTGACAGAGTCTGTGAGAAGGTCTGAAAATTGGAGGCAGATCTCTGGATCGGCATCTCCCTGACAGAAGCCTCCGGGACGTAGATTGAAATGAAGAATACTTAGAGCATCTTCTTGATTGGCACTTTTGAGTGAGAGAATTCTTTGCAGCATGAAATGCGGCAGACTGAAGAAAAACCAAGAAGGACACAAGTCAGTCAATGTGGTTAGGCGACGGCAGGAGTGTTAGAAAGACACTGAGTGGGTAAACACTCACTAAGGTACTAGATCACGAGCCCGTCTCTCCAGATCAATGATCTCCAGTGCTTTGAGCATGTCGGGTGTTTCTGGGAACAGTTTGAAGAGTCGGGCTTCGCTTTCCGTCCACTGGAGATAGCCTCCTGGCTCTGTAGAAGGTCGAGATTAATATCCAGCCGTACAGGGTATACAAAGGTGGTCACTATAAGGAGAGGCATAACTTACTCAGGAGTAGCAATGCATTCTCGAGCGCTCGAGACAGCTTCTCCTCCGTGATAGCGTAAGCAAGGCCACGAATATTGACCAAGTCGAATTGTCCATGATAGCGGGGGTCAAAAGGTTTAGTGCAGTCGTGCTGTACAAGTTGGATTCCGGGGGTGGGGTTTTCGGGGAATGCGGCTGCGTTCAAGTCAAAGCCAACAAGAGACGGGAGGGGGTTTGTGGTTGGGGTGTTTTCAACAGCTGGAGATGGTAGAGTCTGAGCTACTTCCCGCAGCCAGATACCTGTTCCGCAGCCAATATCTGCAACCCCACCCTTTAGTGATGACAAACGGATAGAAGGGTGAATGAGCTGATTGTTGAGAAAGGTCTGCTGGATGAGATTGTGCTGTCGGTTCAGACGCTCGTGTTCTTCTGTTTGCTTGGAACGGTGGGAGAGGACGTATGTCCGGTCTTCGGACTCCACAGTGGAAGGCATAGTGAAGAGAGTAGTACAAAGTGATTTAAGGCCGGTAGGCTTCTGTTGTTGGAGAAAGAAGAGATCGAAGAGATGCAAAGGCAACTTGGGACAGCGAGGATTGCTCCCTGCTTTATATTGGTAGCTGTACGCCGTCACACACTAGTGCTTATGCATAAGTAGAACAATTGAAGGTAGTAACTTGTCTAGTACCGCGTAATTATGTTCCCAAGTTAGGATAGCATCTGCTCTAGTCGGACCAATGGTATGTGGGTTCTGACATGCATTGCACAAGGACCTATGCATTCGTGTGCACCAAGTCTTGGCAGAACCACACAATGGAGGCTTACTCCTAATAAGGTCCTAGCTCGTGAAGAATGACAAAATATATATATCTCGGTGAATCGTCTTAGCAAGATGTCGAGAACTACTGGTTAGTGGAGGGTGTATCGACCGTGCTGTGTCCATATAGTAACATCATACAATCTTCTAGCCAAGTCAATCACGGCGGAGCACATTGGTCATATAATATATATTGAACACAACACGGAGTCCATTCAAGCTCCAGAGCCACTTTAATTGACACAATGATCTTACAGTTTTAACTAACTACCCATGCTGACTTCTACTCCCCTTTCCGAATCTTCTCATACTCCGGCAAAGCCCACTTCACCATCCACTCCGATTCAAGAATTTGCTTCGTCGTGCTTCGATGTTCCGGTCTAAAAGCAAACATTGGCCGCAGCATCGCAAAGATAGCATCCCTCTCTTCTGCATCAAACAAAGGCATTCCTACTTCCTGTCTAGGCAGCTGCACACTATCCTCAAATCGATCGCCCCAAGAGCGATATGGATTCCGCTTAGTTGGCCTCCCATCCTCGGTAAAATTGTCTGGTCGCGCGTCCCATCTGTTCCACCATTCGGGAGGCAAGATACCTAGAGTGTCTACATGCTCACGGGTCATGTAGTCTTCCGTTGAGAGAAATCCTTCGAAAAGTGGCCTCTGAGCAATAATAGTCCAAATGGTGCAGGCAAGAGACCATATGTCTGATGAAAATGACAGTGGTTTATTTGGTTCAAAGCGAGCTTCAGGAGGACGACTGACGAGCGGAGTGTGAGATTCATACTTTGCTTCTTTGGAGGAAAAGGCCTCGCCAAAGTCTGTAAGTAGGATTCTTGCCTCTGGAAGTGTGATTTTCTCGCTTGGTTCTCCAAGCCAGATGGGTGCAATGCCGTGGTATGGAACACCAGGAGGAAGCGGTTTGCCATCCAGATGAATCACCGGATCGAGCTCGGGCGCTCCATACTTTTCATATAGTTTTTCGGGTGAGAGCTGATCAAAGCTGGGTGGCGTTTTGAGCAGGACATTGCCCATGTGAAGGTCTCCATGGATGAACCCTCGGGCATGCACATAGTCCACCGCCAGAACTAGTTGTGCAGTCAAAGCCCGGGCTACATTAATCTGAAATAAGCGGACCCATGATCCATCTTTCAAGTCGGAGAGGCTAGCCCTTGCCGGAGAGGTAACATAGCAAGTGTGCTCTCCGTTTGGACCATGGATGGTGAATGTATCTAGAATCGACGGAAGCATTGTTTTGCCCAGATGATTGGTCGCAAGATGATGCGGATGCGTGAGACTGGCTAAAATACCCGCCTCTTTGGGATTTGAGTCGGCTGTGCAGACTTTCACTGCAACATACTCATTATTCTGCTCATCACGGGCTAGCCATATGGTGGAGTAGGAGCCGTGTCCTAGCTTATGTATTATCCGGTATCGGCCATGAAAGTGATCACCAAGTTGTATTGGGTGATAGCCTCCTGGACAATAGTATTCAATTCTCTCCACACCTTCGAGGGGTTCATATAAGAAGTTGGGATTGGGATCGTCACCTGTGGGTGTTGATCTGGACGCGGTGCTAGCAAAGACGCGACGGGTTGGCATGCGCGTTATGTGGATAGGAGAAATGACATGAGAACACAGGGTCAGCGGCCGCATTGATCGAATTGATGTTAACGACAATCCTCTCATGATCATGATGTTCACGGGAAGATCCTACTGTCGCACTACTCAAGATGATTCACCCCCGGTGTGAATACTCTTGGCGGGAGCGGTGGAATGCGGGTAGATGCAGATCCCGGTCTGTGCCTTAACAGTGACGTTGGGAAATAAATCATCGTCTAAATCCGCAGGGAGATGCGATATAATATTTGTAGTCTACTGATTAGAGGGTCAGAAACCTATACACAACCTTGAAGTTATCGTCATGTTGAAAATGAGTTCGTGCATCTTTTACGGGGTTGGATATTCTGACATCGACAAGCATGGATTGTTGTTAATATGAATTCAATGGTTAGTCGAGTAAAAAATAAGATTATCATACACTTCTTCATATGATGCAGGTAGGAAATTGCTCATTGTCGATGAACAACTCATTTGAGGATGGCATGTTGGTATGTGCGTTCAGATGTATTTCTCACTCACATGGCGAAAGATCAGGAAAAGAATTGAACGAATAAGGATTGAGGGACGTTACTGCCATCAGAAGGCAAAGTCTGATCCCTAAAGAGTAAGGCTTGCTTCTAGTACAGGCAGAACCCTTACCACCTTGCTGTGGGTATTTATTGGCTAAGGTAATGAACTGCTGCCTCAGGCGGAGAAAGCTCAGAGTGGCAGGCGGTAATGGTTCTACCTGCACTAAGTAGGGCCGTACCTTTTTAGGAGCGTGCTTTACCTTCTCAGGCAGGCGGCAGGGTGTAGCATGAGCGGAGACCGGTTGGCAGTAGCGTCCTCCTAGAGATTTGAACCTCTAATATTTCAAAGTAAACTACCCATAAGAACGCTTAGAAGTTGTAAAACTTGGGACATCATGCTAAAGACAAGACTAACTGATCAAGGTCCGTGGAAGCAGGTTTAAGCCAAGATAAGCTGATTTGGTGTCAAGGCTACCTACCAGGTCACTCAGGTAACAAGAGATTACATTCTCCTCTGGATTAGTCTCACTAATTTCTGCAGCCATTGTAACACAAACTATTTGAAATAATCCAATTATCTGCTTACAAATGACGTCACTGAGCATATCATTGGTGAGGTTTAGTGAAGATCTCCCTAGTCAACATAACTAGTTCCTGGTCACCGTGCAGGGCCTCGTGCTATATGCGATCGCAGTATAAATAGCGTTGTCAGCACCTCGATGAAGATCCCTGTGTATCTATTTGAAAGTTATTGAGATATTTCGGATCCTTATACTTCTCCTCATATAAGATTTAAGTCACGAATCATACCAGCATACTGGATTCGCAGAACCAGAGATCGAAGTTCATAGCAGGTATATTTCAGAAAATGAAGCTTCGCGTCGCTCTGGTTGCCTCCTTTATTGGCAGCACCTTGGCTGCAACTCCACAAGCTGGCCGAAACAGCGCAAATGGCTGTCGCGACGACGTGAGATAGCCTTTCTCAAGCTCCCCTGATCAGTATATGCGAAAAGGCTTACGATGAGAATTCGGGAACATTTACAGGAAATCCAAAGACATGGATATGACTGCGATCTTACTTGTCATGGCGTGGCTATTTACAGGTCGAAGGGGATAGATTCTGACTTTCTCAAGGGCACTCTCTGCGAGGTAGTAACAGAGGAGGGAGGTTGTTACTGCAAGGGGAACACTTATAGGAATACGGTGAGTAACATCGATCAATAATCAGGGGAAGGATTTCGATAATCAATTTAACGGTTGAAACTAATTCGAGTCAGGCCGATGGAAGCTGCGTGTCTTGGGAGGACTGTCCGTTTGAGAGCCATGTTTCATTCAGCATACTAGACTAGAATATTGAACATAAGAAAGGAAAAAAAGAATATATAAAGAAGTATATATATCATATGAATAATAAAAGTAAGTAAATAAAATAAATTGATAAAATAAATTGAATTATCATATATGATCTAATTATATATCTTCAAGTATTATTTATTAATGGCTGGGATTGTGGAAAAACAATGAAGATAGGAAATCTGTATCTATGCTCTTCCTCATGTTTTTGGTTTACAATCGAGAACCTACCCATACGTGACGTTCTGTTGTAACTTCAATGGTTTTTGATAGTCCTACCACACATGCTACCTTGTAGACAGCTTCTAAGAGCCACATAGCGAAGGCCTCTGAGGTCGTGGTCATGAATTAAACATCAGATCACCAAGTCCCGATTTTTTCAGTTATATATTCCATAACATCATCGACAACCCCCTACGACGACTGAACCGCAATAGGAAAATCGGCAATATGCACCTTTGCCGAGCCGTAAGGGACCAAGCGGATCTTACTCGGCGTCCCAGTGACATTTGGATACTTAGGGGGCACCGCAGCGGTCCCCGAGTCCTCCTCCCAGGGGACCAGCCATGCATCCGCGAACAAGGCAACGGGGGTGGCATTTTTCGCCCAGATGGGATTTTGAAGTTGTCCATCGCGATCGTAGACCTGCTGAACAGTCACCGAGGTCGGGTCGATAGCATACCTCCAAGCAGAGGTTGGGTCGAGCACATAGTCATGTGTCTGCGCCACGATCTGGTCTGCTGGCAGTGGCTCCAAGGATGAGTAGTTGAGGGGGCTGTGGTAGGTGGAGTTGTAGTCTATGTCTAGCGCGTATAATAATGGGCCGTAGTAGATGGCTGCGGTGCCGTTGGCTGGTGAATTTGTGACCTGGATGCCCATTTCTAGCTCCACAGCTATCTGGGTAGTTCCTTTGGTGAGGTTGAAGGTTTGCAGGTTATTGGAGTCCGAGGAGAGGGGTTTGGAGGATCCACCCGCGAGTGAGTACTGAGAGCTCGTCTTGTTCACCCAGTCAGGGATACGGACGGAGAATGATAGGTCGGTGGTGGCTGTGATTGCATACTCCAGTCGGCCGGAGAAGGGGTAGTTGGTTGTGCATGCTATGGTCACGCTGCCTGTAGCCAGCTTCGTGCTCAATGTTTCGGGCCCCAGTAGTGCGTGAATCACATGGCTGTCTCCCTCAAGCACATAAGAAGCGGCCACATACTTGGGATAACCCTGGCCGTGGTTGACGGTGCAGCAAGGAAAGTTGGGCTCGAGGCCATAGCTGTTGGCGTAGGAGTTCACGTTCCCGAAAGGGACGGCACTCAAGTTGCGGGACCAAGGCTGATTAACCTGCTGGACATATTGATGTGACCACCCTAAAAGAGTCTTAGCCGGGGTATTCGTACTAAATGCTCATAGACTTACAATTCGGCGATAGCGCTGCAGGCAAGGAGTTGAATGCGACGCGCTCGGCTCGGTCTGCGTATGCGTTGGTGCCATAGAACCGATACAGATAGGCCATGGAAAACATCATTTCAACCGATATGCAAGTCTCCGAGCTGTTCCATGTCAGTGCCAGAAATGGTGAATTTAAAAGAGGGGCGAAGACACGCATACCCTCGCTCGGGACTGAGTCCGCCCAGATGCTCATCGGCCGTGATGCTCCCAGCAAGTGTGGACTGGTAGGTGGTGAGCAACTTTACCGCTAACGCGGTCTGGTCCAGCAGGGAAGAATTTCCATTCATTCGGTAGAGCACCGTCGGATACCGTAAGCCTGTTTCGGTCAGCACTGCCTTCCACTGCCCTAGGGCTTATTTTCATACCTTCCGCTAAATTGACACCATGGGTGAATGAGCTGGTCGTGATATACGGCGTTCCCAAGGTAGGGAAAACACCCTCCACGAAGAAGGTTGTCCAGTCCTTCCCACCCGCGACACCACCGGCAAACATAAGCTCTATAGTCTCCCAGATCACTTCTGAGTTATTTCGTGGATAGTTCTCATACAACCACTGTAACGACATGGGCAACTCATGCGTCCGGGCTAGTCCAAAGCCGTAGGGATCAAACTCGTCTCCAAGCGTTGTGTTCTGGATCAGGCCGGTGAAATTGTCCTTGAGCATGGAATGGGCCAGAATGGTGAACTTATGCATCGCTGTTACAATCCTCTCTGTCTCCGATGGATCTGCTTGTGCATATTGCTGGACCGCTGGATCAGAACAAGCACCACATGTACACATCCCAGGCGTCTGCACTCACCACTAAGCCAAAGAAGAGCAGACTACGTGCCCATATTCCTCGAGTTTGGTGTGTTTTCTCGGGCCCCAGCCATCCATCTTCAGCTTGATTGTCAAGCACGTAATCGAGAAATTGCTTCGCCTGAGCTTTCAGGCGCGTGTCGTCAATGGTCCAGGCGAGAGGAACAACGTAGTTGAACCAGTAGGGCGCTGCTTCATCTAGCGTGCTGTACTCCCAATCACCCCCGACCCATGTCGATCCAGCCACAAAGCGATAGAAGTCGTTTAGATGGCCAGCCAGCCCATTTGCTTCGAGCTCCAGCTGATCCTGTAACCAGCCCGTCGCGGTGATAGTACCCAAGGGAAATGAGTTATACTTGAACGGTTCGAGCACCTTTCTCATACCTTAATTAGGTTGTTACTATGTATCAGTCAGGATATACATGCATTGGTTATCTTTACTTACTTTCAACAGAATCGCTAATTACTGCCGCCGTGGAGCTCAGATGCAGGGTCAAGGGTAACAAGTGCGACCACTTCATATCTATTGATTACCGCTCAAGATTTTGTCCACAATCAGCATTGGAGCATTTTGGTGGCAGATAAAGCATGAAAGCTCGGCTCCTTCTCCGGCATTTTGCCCGCCCTTGCTTGGTGCGACGGGTATTCCCCGCATGATAGTCCGCTGAAATACCTGTTTGAGTTGGTGAGTTTCAAGAGCCATACGGTGAGATCTAAAATATCAGTCAAGTGGTTATTAAAGATAGAAAAAAAAAAAAAAAAAAAGAAAAAGAAAAAAAAATCAGAAGTCGAGGTAAATAAAGTTTGCCTATAAAAAATAAGTTGTTTCCTGTTCACAGGGACTAAATACCATTGGGTCATCACCATGGCCGCCCCGTCTTTTGATGATGCGATTAACGATATTCCGATCAATGGTACACCTCCGGGATTTCGCCCGAGTCCGGAAAAGCAACAAGAACGCCAAACTTTTCATGGAGGTATGACGGGAATATGCGGGATCTCAGTAGAAATACCATTATAAAAGAACAACTATATCTAGGCCGCACAATTGAAATCAGCAATCAAAATCCTTCAAGTCAATGATCCACTGTATATGTACCCCATAGACTGCGTTAGTAGATTATTGTTGCTAAACCTAAGTAGTAGGTATCTACAACAATCTAAATCCATTCTTTAGTCGCACCGATAGTCTGAATGGCTCTGCATCATGCTGCCTCCTGGTATACCAAAGCCTAGGCACTATTAGCCACCAGACGGGCCTCTTCCATATTCTGAATCTCCTGGTTCGATTATTCTGGTCAGCTCTTCTTCGCTCACTATCAACATCCTTACACCGAAATCCGGGACGAAACCAACCTCGATGGCCGGCACCGCCGAATGCCAAGCAGCAACCAACATCCCTTGCAGGGAAAAGTCACTCTGAATTTCTGACATAGTCCCTTGCACGTCGGTGCCCCAAAACTGCGAGGCTTTGTCCACTCCATGCATGCCGAAGTCAATGGCGATATGATGCCGGAGTAAATCGGGGTACCTGAGGAAGGCAATCAAGCTTTGCCGCGCACAAGTACGGTAGTAGCCGATGCTTCCCAAAACAAAGCCAACACAGGAACCGCCAAGGAATCCCACAGCGCCCGCCGTAAAGGCATAGACCATGACCGTGGCCCCAAGCATGCCGATAATCGCAGCGGACGAGCTCCCCGCCAGCAGGCATTGGAACATAAACAGCCCTCTGCCACTTGGCTTGGTCAGGCCACCGACGGTTCGCAGCGCTTGACCTAGTGAGCTGACGGTTTGCGCTGGAGTCTCGCCCTACAATGAACCCAATTGCTGATGAGTGGCGGCGAGAACATCGCGATGCATAAGGTGGGGGAGAATTACTTGCATGTCGATAGGGCTGGAAGCTTGGAATGGGAAGGGCGTGGTGATGAGTAGAGATGATCTAACAAGATTATAAATGGGGAAGTAGTAATGAGCACTGCGAATAGTGAGACATTAAGGGTCTCCAAGTATGGCAGAAAGGGAGTGTTGGATATGTTAATAAAGCCGGAAATGGAAAATCACATGACTCCGTTGTCAGCCACTGGACGTGTTGAAACAAGGGTTAAATGCTTCTTAAGTAGTACCAATATAGGTACCACCAGGTCTCATCTCATCTATACAAGATTCATAATTGCTGGTAAATATGAAAAGCCCTCGTTTTTAACTGACCCACGACTGACCGATTAAGTTAATAGCTCCCGATTCGGATTCTTTGTCTCCAGTACAAGTCTAAATCAGCCCAGAAACCGTGCCTTGTGTTCCTCCACCCAGTCGCGAAAGCGTTGTGGAGGGTGATGGGCATATTTTGAAATATTGTCGCCAGTTATGAGAGCCTCGGAGCTTTCAAGATACAAGGAAGCACGGTCGATAACGTTATGAAGGTGCCATTGAACCATTGGGGGCGGGACACCGGCGGCTTCCAATTGCGCAGCACCTTCCTCGCGGGAGACTGCGGTCACCCGGACTATTTGACTTAGAGCCTCCCCAATGATTCCCACAGCCTCCCTCAAAGTCATCCTCTCGGGTCCCAACAGTCGCACAATATGTTCCTGGGCACCGTGGGCTAGAATCGTCCCAGCAACCTGACCAATATCCTTCGAGGAGATGAAGTCAAACTTCGCCTCCGGGTTGGGAAGCCTCACCTCGCCTTGCTGGATGGCCTGCTTTTGGTGGAATAGATTGCTGGCGTAAAAGGCCGGTCGCACAGTCACGTACGAATCACGTCCATAGACTTCTTCAAGTGCAATTTCCACCTGGGCGTGCTCCCAGGGAACGATATCAGAGGGGTCCACGTTGTGAATATCGGTGAGGATGAGAAAGCTGCTTAGAAAGACCACAAACTCAACTCCGGCTGCTTTGAGAGTACGGAGAGCGCCTCTCATAAAGTCCTGGTCGTCGAACACACCATAGATAAAAGCCGCCTTGGCACCAGCGTCGCAAACGGCCGCAGCTAGGGTACTGGGCCGGGTCAGGTCGGCCTGGTATCTCTTGAACGGTATATGAGCGAGTTGGGGGATGGATTTGGACAGGTTGCGCGTCGCCAGCGAAACCGTGGCTCCCTCATGGTGGGCTTGCAGAGCGGCTGCGGAGCCCACATCCCCCGTAGCACCAAAGATGATGATGTTGTTATACTTCAGCATGATGAGGCAGCAGTTGAAGTGGCAAAATTGGATCTGATAGCGCTCATCGCAGCTTTGTTTACAGGATCTTGATCTGTCTATATACTCAGGAGATAACCACGTCATTCGACCGACGATATTTTGTCTTAATGGTTTGTAAGCGGGCATTCAATTAGCCCTAAGTCCGCCCCTCGGGTTTTGCAGTTGACCTGCGTAGGCACTACCCTGTACCCGGTGTACTATGCCGATTTCAAAGTGACAGTATAAGAACTGACCAACCTTGCTGAATTTTCACTCGGTCGCCGATCTAGTTCACTTGAACTTGAATGCGTACCCAAAGATGACGAGTAATTCGTCCCTCATCCACGCAACAGGAGTAATCTCCTCGTCGTTTGTGGCCGGTAAGTTGACTGAGCTTTGAACTCCAACTACATAATATTTAATTAATCTGAGACTTACTCACAACCACCCCCCTTGGATAGGTGCAATCTTTACCTCCTCATTTGCTGGTGTTAGCACTGCCCTTATTGACGTTCGAGAATCCCCCGCCCTGGCTGCACAGCGGTGGGTCCAAGTGCATCGTCGTTGCCACAAGCTTTGTACGCCATTGGTATTGTTCTCGGCGGCTTGCTTCGGGTGGTTGGGAGTGAAAACCCAGGGGAACCGCTTTCTCGCTGCAGCCACTGCATGCCTGAGCATCGTCCCCTTCACAATTATAGTACTGAAAAGATCGGAGATAATATTGTATGCGGCAGCAGCTGAGTCCAATAGTGAAAGCGATCAGGTTGAAGCGGCAATGACCAGCTGGGGAGTTTGGAATATGGTTCGAACGGGTTTTCCACTGATGGGAGGATTGTTGGCTGTGGGCATGTATCTCTGAGACTGTGAAGCAGTTTTGCTATAGCTTGGCGATATAGAAAGCAAGGGGGTTGATGCTGTGGAAGGCGCAGAACACTCCTCGTGCTAAACGCTGACTTGGTGTGTCTAGTATTCAATAACTTGCTCTACACGATACCTATTTCGAAGAATGGTGCACTCCATGGAATAGGAGGTCTAACTGCGTTGGTTTGTTGCATATGTACTCTATTAGCCGTAAGAAGCTATAATTTCAAGCTGTATTAGACAATATGCTCCAAAACTAAGGCTTTATTCATACGCCCACCTCCTGATTTTAATATCCATTATATCAACGCAAAGCCCACTTCGGACGAAGGTGTTACATGGATTCTGTGGGCCCCGGGAACATATAATTTGGGATCCGCCAAGAGCACTAACCGGTGGAACGACTTCAACTGGCTCGGACTTTGGACGGCCTTTGGAAAGCTTTGCTATTCGTTGATTGGGGGCCCACTTTGGCCATGTCATTTACTATTAGGTTGGAATGTGGCCTCACTCATCGTTTCGTCATAGCTCCCTTTTCTATGGCTCAAGTATTCTAGTAATTCGAACTTACCTGTTGCTGATATGATTTTCTTGTTTCTTTGACATTGAATCCACTATCCTCCCAGTGACTAGTCTTCTTCTTAGACAATGAGTACATATCCATCTGGATACCGAATTGCGCAGGCTGTCGGCCTTAGTGGCGCAGCATGGCTGTCTGGTAGATAGCGCCCAACCCCTCCACCTTCCATACTGTTTCAACCGACTTCTAAAACCTCGTACAGGCAATATTGCTGCTCTCAGTTTAATCGCGGTGCCTGCATTGACCAATGCCCAGGAGGAGAAGGAAGTGTCACCAGGCACGGCCGTCAAGTTGTGGAAAAAAATCTACGATGCCGGAAAGTCTCAAAATCCACCGGTTGCGGCCACTACGGCGGCCGCATTTCTTTACCTTGCCTGGTCGGCCCGCCCTGGCATTCGCACGACGTACAACCCGGCTGGGCTATATACCGCAGCTGCTATTCTGACAGTGAGCATCGTGCCGTACACTATCGTCACGATGCGTCCGACGAACAATGCTCTTATCAAACTGGCGAAATCCCAAGCCGACCTGACTGCCGCTGATGTACTTCAGAGCAATGGCCTTCTTGGCCGATGGATGGTTTTAAACGGTATTCGAAGTCTCCTGCCGCTCGTTGGCGGGGTGGTGGCCATTACGGCGGCTTTTCTCTCGACATGAAGATAGGATGGGAGTCTTCTCGTGGCGTGGGCTTTTATGGTTGTGCCTTCTACAGTAATTCAAGATCTCCCTGCTGCATGTTGGGGCGGATTGGAACAGCGTGCATATCTGAGGAGGGCTAGCGAGGCACGCAGGATGGACGAGAACTCTTGGATATCATCACAGCAGTGATGGCATTGTTAATTCTGAAACCCACCTTTTATGATATCGTAATCTAGAACCTGGCCTTACTTGGCCATTGAGTTTTAAGAGGCAAATCCGAATGCAATCTGTTAGACGTATAGAAAAAGGACGAATCCAGCCACCGTAGGTGTCCCATTGAGAGTGGGGTATTCGTTTCCTGCAGGTGTTGTTAATTAGATCTCGAGTGATATTAGCGCGCGACTTTCTAAATCAACCCATTCTGAATATCGTGGACTATCTACAACGAGCTGGCCAAGCACTTAAAGGTGAGTGCGTGGGTATCTACATCTACCTATGAGACCCAAAAAAAGTGGTTGAAGACCCGCGAAAGGCTCTTGATAAGACACTCTGGGATTGTACGCATGGTAACCCCCCCTGGCTTTGACAATCCAGTGTACCCACAGTCCCAAGGCCTGAAGTTAGGCCTGCAGGCAGATCTCCTATGGGGCGCATCGGAATCGGGCGTTCGGTGGTTCGGATCTCCGTCGTATGTCGAGGACCCACAGGAGAATCATTCATTTTCGAATAGATGTGGTCAATCTCAACATGTGCGAAACAAGCTGATAGGAGATATTATGCCTAAATATTGGGACCTGGAGTGCTTGAGGAAGACTTCCTCAGAATCCTGGTGATGTGGTTCCATCTACTGTGTAGTGAGCAAACCTTTGCCATGAGGAAGTCCTACAAAACCACCCCGTTTGTGAATATATAGAACATGATCATTTCCAGGGAGAGTGGATATTTCTATGTGCGGGCAGGCGGAGCCAAGACGTAGGACTAGAACGATAAAAATTGAACTCAAAGTCCGTTGCAAAACCCGAGACTATTCAGGAGCTATCCAGTAAACTGTAAGCGAATGAGTCTGAATTGCGTTCTTGTTGTTCCCCATCCGAACCCTGAACCCCTTTGCATGTATGTTGCAGTCCCGCTACTAGTAAATCCTCTCTTATACCTGCCCCTCCAGCAGTAGTGCTTCTATGACACCAATATAGCTGTATATTATTCATCCTCCTTCCCTCCTCAGACAACCTCAAAGGCTCCTTAGCCACGCCGCGATGAGCGACTCAATACCTCTACAGTCTGCGAGTGAAGTTACCAATGATAATACAGACGGGGGGTTGGAGGCGCGCAAGGCTGCAAAGCCCAGCCTATGGAAAAGAATTATGCCCAACATCCCGTTGGTCATCATGATGGTCAAGTAAGTTCCAATTCGGATGGTGGATATTTAGTAGGCTAATGCAGAACCCTTTACCGTGAAGGGGCTCGCTGCCGATGACCATCTCGCTCGCCATCTACCAATCCGACCACATTGCCCAACGCTTTACCACGGTCGGATATATTATGGCTATGATTGCATTCTTCAGTATGGCTATGCTCCCGCGCGCCAAATATCTCGAAGGGCTTGTCTTGAACATCCTCGCCACTTGCCTTGGCTCGGCCCTATCTCTCCTTACCATGTATTGGGGAATTCAAGCTCGCCAGCACACAACCACGCCGGATTTGACGGCCTCCTACAATGGCCCACAAGCGGCAGTCTGTGCGATCTGGTTCTTCTGCACGCAGTGGGCTGCAGGAACCCTGCGGGCCAAGGTTCCAATCCTTCAGAATTGCGTCTACATGTTCAGCGTCATGACGATGATCACTATGACCTACGCCCCTCGTTTTCATACCATGGGTCAAGCTATCTCCTTGGTGGTGGAGTTACTGGAGATTTTCTTCATCGCGTTTGGTATTGCGACCGGTGTCTCCTTGCTCATATTTCCAATGACGACAAGAATGGTCTTGTTTAGGAAGCAGACTGCCTACTTTGCAGCGCTACGGGACTTTGTTGCGAGGCAATCTGCCTACTATCAAGCTTTGGGGACATTAGAGCCTCCAGTAAGTGGGCAGAGAGCGGGAGAGGGGGATGTTGTCGAAGAACGGCCGTTCCCCGAGCGAGAAGCTCTACTCGAGAGTCTCAACCAACTGATCGCTCTTCATATGGAATTATATACAGATACAATCAGCGCTAAGCGAGAGGTTGCCCATGGCAAGCTGAATGCGGACGACCTACATCAACTATTTCGGGCCTTTCGAACCATTCTCACTCCAATGGCTGGTATTAAAACCATCATTCATCTGTTTGATGGAGTTGATCCCGAGAAGCCAACTGTTCAGCGAGAGAAAGGAGTAAGAAGTGACCCAAGAGTAGCTCGCCAGCGTGAATTGCGACACTTTTGGAGCCATGTCATGTCGGAAATGGGCGAGCCTTTCAGAGAAATCGAACAGGTCATCGATGAAGGATTGCAGCACGCGGCGACCGTCCTCGAATACTTGCCAAACCAGAACAAAAAGCCCGACGTCGAGTGCCAGAGGCCCGGTTCTCCCACCTTTGCAGACTATATGGGCCGTAAAAGTCGGGCGTTCCGCGGTCGACAAAGTGAGCTTCTTAGTACCTGTATTGAAGAAAATGAGGGGGTGACCAGCGCATCGAATCTCAAGTATGCATACGTCTTTCTCCAGGCCAAGAATCTCATGTCCACTGTCGCCGCGGCGGTTTATGAACTGGTTCTTTTTGCGGATTCGAAAAGGGAAGATGGCACAATGCAGAGAGAGCGACTGGTGTTTCCCCACACCCATCATTTCACCTCCCATTTGCAACACCTCACAAGCGAACAACCAGATATTCATGCTAGTCAGGCTGCAGACCTCACCGAGACTGGGTGTCAAGGAAAGAAGACCACTCGGATCAAACTACATGACCATCATCATCTCCCTCCTCAGAACACATGGGAGCGCTACACGGACCATCTACGAGCGGTATCCAGGCTGCTCAGATCGAAGGAATCTGCCTTTGGGCTTCGAATGGCCCTGGCGGCGTCTACCGTGGGGATCCTGGCATATCTGGAGAAGACCTGGACCTTCTACTATCAGCAGAGGCTCATTTGGCCCCTGATCGTAATCCTGGTCGCTATGAATGTTGCCTCCGGAGAAAGCACCTTCAAGCTTGCAGCCCAAATTATGGGCGCGACTGCAGCAATGGGGACCTGCTATCTCTGCTGGTACATTGTTGACGGCAAGCCCACGTAAGTCGACAACAGCCGTTCTTCACTGCACCAAATAAAAGCTAACCTCCCATGACAGAGGAGTCCTAGTCTTGACTTGGCTCGCATTCTTTTTCCTTTCATATGGATTCATCAAGATTCCCAAATTATTCGCCGTCTGGCTCTGCATCCTGGTCCCGATTGTTGCCATCATTGGCATCGCCCTGCAGTCAAAGAAGTTGGGCCATGACACCATAGTAGCGACAGGACAGGAAGACTATCCAGTCTACCTGAGCGCCCCGTACCGGCTTCTCAGCGTCCTTGCGGGCGCTTTCATTGCGTACGTGTGGACGCTGTTCCCCTACCCCATTACGGACCGCGGGCTCCTGGGTGACAAACTCGGGGATATCCTAGTTCTGCTCGCGCAATTCCATGATTGTGGGCATTCAATCTCGAGCCTTAAGCTAAGGGGGCTTGTGCAAGGTGAGAGAATGATGACACTGGATTCTCGTACTAATACCGGTGGAGGAATCGTTGGAAGACTCGCCAGGACCCAAGAGCGACTGTTCCAGCGGATCATGACCTTGATTCCCCCGTCGAGGATGCATGCATTATTCCAGAGATTTGATGTGCCGGTTGGGGGACGCTTCCCCGTGGGAAGTTATATGTCTATCATGCAAGAAGCAATGAGGTGAGTTGAAAGCCCTTCCCCTTTGTTCGCGTTTCTTCACTTCCTGTCTGTTTGCGTTTAGCTCTGCTAGTCCCTTGTAGTAATAGAAACTGGAGCTAACCCCATCTAATCCCCCGCCCCAAAGTATCATGAACTATATCAACCTCCTCATTTACTTTACCCGTTCGTGGCCGTCGCTTTCGCACTCCTCCACATCAACGACGGTCCTTGCATCCGTATCGACTCATTCGCGCCAAATGACATCTGCCCTGTTGTTCCTCTCCGCCTCCATCAAACATGGCACCCCGTTGCCACCGTACTACCAAGCACCGACCGCAGTCGACTTTTCTCCTTTGTGGAATGAAGAGCTACGTGCTCAGTCGCCGCCGCCGTCCGCCCAGACTAGAGATAAAGAGGCGGTGCAGTGCTCGTGGGCCACGGTGCAGATGGTCACGGACGCATCCAACGCGGCATTGGCGAGGATGATAAGGCAAGTTCGAAATTTGGTTGGCGAGGTGAATTTTGACAGTGTAGGGGAGGTGAAATCTGTTTTAGTGGGGACGAGAGAATAAATGAGAGATGACAAAGGCTATGTGCACTCAGCTGCCCTGTGCAATATGAACATCTCTTGGAAATAGAATATTCGTCGGTGTTCATAGATGATACGATTGGTCGCCCTGACTACACTGACAATTCCCCTCCGGCAGAAGCCAAGTGTGGTCAACTGCTGGATCGGCGTCAAGTAAAGTGTATTGAGATTGCTCTCACAAAGTTTGTATGACTTACCATCTCCTGTTCGAGAAGATCGCGTTTATCAGACTCCCCATCATCAATACCGTGGCATCGTTGTTACTTACGGAGTAACTTCACTGACACATCAATGTCGATTCTGTCCGCCTCTACATCAATTGTATTCGCCTACTAATTTAATTTTGCAATCAGGCTGTGCGTCGAGTACCACTTGGGTTCTAGAAGCTTCTGGTGGAGATGGGCGGAATAAGAGCCATGTGGACTCTCAGATGCAGCGACGCCGATTCTGGGCCTCTTACTTACAAAGTACATTTCAGGCTGATAGTCCCTTCCCAAAAGTACCCACCAAGGGCATGTTGCACACTATACTGCCATGCGGGGAGTCCGAATTCTAATTAGAGAGTCCTCGATCTAGTATCACTTTGAATGATACAGAAAGCACGCAGAGCATCTATGCTGAGCTGGTCAGGGCTATGTCCCTATGTTCGTCGGTTGTCTTCTTCATCAAGCAGACAGGACTAAACCTCGCAAGCCGTCTGATCGAGATACAAACACTAGACAGTCGCATTAAGTGGCTTGGTCAAAGCTGAACTCTTCGTTTCAATTGGATTCCTCAAAGATGGCTGCAGTACCCGTGCAAGATCTGCCGAAGTTACTCTTGTTGCACGTGATCTATAATCAATGCCTGTGTTCCTTGCACTCGTCCATCATGCCACTGTTCTCCTAGAGTCGTTGTGAAGGTGTCTTTGCGTATGCGCAGCAATTGTCTGCACAGACAGCTTTTGAGCACGCAAATTCTGTATCTAAACTGCTACATGCAGCCTTGGAGCTGGACTGGGATGCTCGAAGGATGCCGAGCTTTATTGGATATGCTGCCTATTCGGCTCGCGCGATCCAGGCTCCCTTCTTGTGGTGCTCACAGCCAATTGTGAAGCAGTGCGCCGTGCGCAATGTTTTGGCCAACCTGAAGACGCTACAAATACTGGGAAAGCACTGGGCCTTTTCAGATGTTTTGGTACGATAATTTGCTCTTTTGGACCTCAAGCCTTATTATATACTTCTCTGCCTGTGACGCATACTGACGCATTGTCTACAGGGCAAGTTTGCTTGTGGTCTTTACAAGGTGCATGCGAGCGCCCCATTCCCGCTGACAGACGAGCTGAAAAATATGCCTCCGGAGACCCTACGAGAATTTAAACCAGCTAATTCCAGAGCGCGACTTTCTATCCTGACTCACAATTCCATCCTTATCAACGAGCACGGTTCCACTGTGCAGGCCGCAGATGATATTGAAGACCTTGGTCTGGAAGATGCAGATTCTCGGGGACCCGTGTCGGCAGAAGAGAGTATTGCTGGGTGTATCTCCCAGATATCGCGTGGTGTCGGTGCTGCGACTAGCCAGTTGCCCATTACGATCAATCCGTTCATAACCGCAGAAACTATAAACGGTGGTGTGGTGAACAGCAGTCTTGACGGGTCTATGCTGGGACTAGGCATGGGACAGATTGGGCATATTGACGACTATATTATGGATTTGCTGCGCCAAGGAGAACTGTTGCAGCAGGGAGTATAACACGTGTATGATCATGTGCATGAGAAGTTATAGTTGTTTCGACTGTACCCACGTCGGAAAATAGAAAAGAGGTAATCTCGGACTTGGGGGTTTATGATTGAATTATATGGTCTAGTCCGACATGTTGGCTATATCTTCTCGGACGGGAGTTAAGTCGGTATGGGATATGTACAGGAATTACCCCTACCTTTTAGTGACAACAGCACGAGGCATGTTGGTATGTATATTCAAGTGAATGAGATGAATTTGCCTCTCTTATTCACACCTGCAACAAGGTGAATGCGTAATATAGCGTTCAACCGTCTGATAATCTCGAATACAATCATTATATAAAAGTAACCAATGACGTTCATTGAAATGTAGCTTTCATCCCAGTCGCACTTGGATAATCGAAGCCTCAAAAATAAAAGCTACATTACCGCTGAGACTCTACCTGTTGCAATAGCTCGCTAATCGAACTCTACACTACTAAAGAGAGTTACATCAGAAGACAAGGTGGAACTCCGATACAATTAATATCAGATACAGCAGGTCACCAAACGAACAAGAAATGATGTCAATACTTGAATCGAATTCTGTTCTTCATTCCTTGTCTGACCCTCCACCAGTAGCGACCTCATGCTTGGAGTAACCTGTCGCCCCGAGAACCTTCCCTCCGACAGTGACAGGATGAGCGGCTGCAGCACACAGAGTCAGTTTAAGATTATTTCCACCATATGATGAAGACCGACATACCAGAGAGTATGAAATATATTCTTGCAAGCTGACCGGAATGATTGGTCCAGCTATGGATTGTACCTCGCTGAACACAAACGTCACCAGCTTTCATGCCCACATAAACTCCGTCATCAAGGTAACTGGAACGCGGATTTAGCCTCCAGAAATCACATTTATAACGCTACGGGAATGCATATGCTAATACACCAGGTGATTTCACCGCTATGCAGGATACCAAAATCCAAGGACTCCGTTCGATGGAACATCTAACAATAAATTAATTTGCGATCGATCCTTAGCCCCACTTGAGGCATCCTGTATGTAGCCACACTTACCGTTCGGGTGTTGGGTGGAATGTCTACAACGCGGAGCACTATGCCCTTGTTGTTCGACAAATCCGCGGTGCGGGTTTCGATTGGATCAATCCATTTATCGTTGGATTCGGGGAATTGGTGCGTCTCGTAAAGGACTGCAAAATTGGCATTTATTGCTGTTGGCACGCAAGGAATCTCACGATCGTCCACTACAATGGCTGCGCCGTCGGGATTATGTCCGGTAACGATTCTTCTGGGGTGTGGAAACATGATGAGGCTTTATGACTAATTGAAATGATAGAAATAAGAATCTATCTAAAGTACGAGCTGGGGATGATATTGTCAGTAAACATGGAAACAGGGTGCGTTGGTAGGTTAATATATCATTACGGCAGTCCATGAGCTTTTCATAGTATACATTGTCATCATACTTACCCCGCACAGGCTTTCCGACAGGGTTAGTAGTAGTTTGTGTTGCCTGCATTGGGAAGGATAGAATCGGGATGTGGCGTATAAACCGTATACCCCGAATACCGACCTCGAAGTTAATTGGCAATTGTGCTCACTACAGGGAAGCTCCGCTTTGCCTCTTCGGCCATTGCAGCAGCAATTTTGGGGAACTCCTGGAGGGGGGGGGGAAGCCGAATGCCGAATGCTATCTCCGGATGTACCGGAGATTATGGATCACGGTTCCATGGATCAGTTGGGTTACAAGTCTGTCTGGAATTTCCGATATGCTGCGGTGCCCTAGGCGATGCTGCCCTTCATTCTGCTGGTCTCGTCTTTTGTCGAAGCACTAATGGGGAGGGTTGCTATCCACTACGCACCCAAGTTACTGAGGTGAGTCTCTAAGAATATTCCCGCCGGGATAGCTATCGGAGAGGTAAACCTGTTAGAGCACTTGATTACATGACAGTGTTAATAATTATGATCTGTATCATTATACCTCGTGAATAACCTAGCGAAGCCAATATTATCACAGATTGTAGGTTAACAGCCTTTCAACACGTACTTGTACTCAGACCGCCTGCTGAATAGAGCTGACCATGCTTAACAGGTAGTACATTGTTCACAGTGTGACTAAACCATATTCTTTTCAAGTCGATCCTCCCGTTGTGATTCTCTAACAGAGTAAATCCAGCTAAGGAATATGGCTACAAATGAAGACTGAGTCAGATCGAGTTCTCGCATGACCAGGTTTTATTCAGGCTACCAGGCGTCCCCTAACCACCGCTAACCATGCAGTTCCGTGATCGACAATAGTGGCCCTCAACATCACGGGTCAGGCGACTCATCCCTTTCTCCTCCCACAGTCTGCAAAGGGTCTGGAATCTCCCTGCGAATGATCTTGTCGCAGGTCTCATAATCGATGAGTCCCCGCGAGTCCCGATACTCTGGACGGCAGAACAATTGCATGACCTCAAAGTCGCAGCATTCGATGGATATGTAGAAGCTATAGGAGTATTTGAACGGGACTCTCCACTTCCACCAGATATACCCGTCATCACAAAGCTTCCCATCCGCAAAGATCTCTGCCTCGGGCTCATATTCATGCATATAATCCCACGTCGATTTCTTCATCCCGTAGTGTAGCACGATTGTTGACTCAATGGCAGAATGCTCGTCGAGCTCTGCCATCCAGTGTCCACCAATATTCCCCTGTTTGTATCCTGGTCTTTCGGACAAGAAGCGGCGGAAGTATTGACGAAGCTCATCGTCGCTTTTGCCCAGGAATCCCGTCTCAAAATCCTGGATGGGTGCTTTCGTTCCCCAGTCATCCACCTCTTCCTGCTCTGGATAACGGATAAGTGTAAGAAAAGGACACGCGTTCTCAGCCGTCTGGCTCTCTTCAAAGAGTTGATTGAATACCTGGGACGAAGGGTTAGCTAGGTTGCCCCGGCCGTGGCCATGGACATGGACTCTTATATAATCATACACTTGCGAGCATATTCGCCGTGAAAAATGTCATGATGTCGGACATTGTGATTGGAGTAACAGGTGTTGTAGTTTCAATCTCAGAAGGAATCAGTGAACAGCTTCTCATCAGTGGAATGAGTTTCGAATATGGAAGACGCGGCCGCAATAGAGGCTTTATAATTCCTGCATCTGCCAGATGGCCAGGTTGGGTAAGGCGCGTACATGGTGAATATCCGAAGATAAGCTACACGTAAGACTCACCGCCTTTGACTATTCGGCTTACTACCTGTGAGGTGCTGCAGTTCTGGGGCTAAAAGCTGTCATGTAAGTTAACCGCCCAGTAGTAACACAGTCAGCCAATGTGAACAGGGAATGCAGGGATTATCAGGGAGTCTTATGTGTGAGTCTCACATAAGCCAACGCGCCAAGGAGGGGAAGATCCGGCTACCATTCTCAGACGCGATGGGTTCACAAATTTCTTTGTCCAACAGTGTGAAGCCGGAACTTGAAATACATCTCGCTGAGGCTCAGAGGAGAGCTCCGGTCTGACATTGTTGTACTGATTCTGAAACCATTGCAACTGGAAGCCTAAGCCGGTCGAGTGCGGTTTTGTCTCTGGGCACCCAACAGGCACATACCAAGGCATTGGTATATCTACCCTATTTGCTATGATGCTGAGCAGGCAGAGATCAAGTGTAGAGGCATCTTCCAAAACATACTGTGCGACCAGCATTGGATGACAGTCACCCCGAGAATAGTCATACTTCAGCACAATCACAATAAATAACTTCTATGATTATCTGGGGGATATCAGCCCCTAAATTGGCAATGCTTGCCATTGATGGCCGATGCAACATTAGGTTCTCGCAAAGTCGGTATTCTGAGGCTTCAGGTACTTGTGGAACCAATAATCTCCCAGGGTTTGCCAACAACTTACTCATACCTAGCAATCAAGGCCCCAATGCAGCCGACCTGACAGCGACGGGCCGTTAAAATATCCAGACTCAAACCCCTGACAATGGTTGCCTTCTATTTTCCTGTTCTCTCATCCTACTACTTTCCCCGTACGTTTCTATTCCATGAGCTAGTTTCAAACAATGCTCTTCCATGATGAGTATCGCCTGCAAAGGGTTTGATCAGCTTATTCCCCTTCAATCGTAACAAATGTCCCAATCACAGTGACACCATGTTTCATCAATCATGTTTGATCTTTCCTGGTCCCTAGTTTCCCATTTTGAACCGCAGTTTCCTCACTGCTATACCGCTCGCCTTCACATATGCAAGGCAAAGCCATCCAGTTTAGCCCCAGTGAGGTGCTTCAGGCTTGCCCCTGAATACAGCCATAATGTGGCACCTTGAGAGATCAAATCAGACATATAAGAGCCAGCTAGCTCGTGTACGTAGCTGTCGAGAGCATGTCAAGCATCAAGAAATAGACGAGAAAGACAACCAAGTTTCTATCCAGGGCTTTCTTTAATTTACACAATCTATATACTCTTTCACCATGTGGGGTTACAGTCTTCTCATTGTACTTGTCTTCTATACGACGATCATAAATATAACCTACGCAGCGCCGATTTATGCCACCGAAGATGTTGCTACTAACAACTTGGCGAGCCGTGCTCCCCCTGTTGCCGGTTCAAGCAAAAGCAACCCTATTTCGGGGGTAATGGAGGTTAAGCGAGATAACGCTTTGCCTTTTGATGGCGACTGTTATGCTATTCTGTGTCTGGGGAAAGAACCAATATTGTGAGCCTCTGACGGCAACTCATTGCACCAACCCAGATTCGGCATCCATCTAACAAACAGTTTCGGTTTCATCGCTCAGCCAGAGAGATGGAACAGAGAGCAATGAGAACCGAAAGGACGCCGGCGTGAAGAAGTATTTTCCAGGAGGCAAGGGGGCCGGTCCCTTCCGAAACCCGACAGCGGCCAAGGTCAAGATACCTGGCAGTGAATACGTGTCTCCAGAGGAGTTTCCATACGCATCAACTACTCAGGGTGGTTACCAGTAGGTAAATTGGCGGTAACAGATATTTAGCGTACTGATCACCAAGCAGGGCAATCTTGTTCCCAGTAACCACAGAATCTCAGCGCTCGCAAGGCGGTTCTATCAACAGCTTCTACAATAGGTATGATATCAAATCCGCACACCAGGGTAAGAATAGCTGGTTCGAAATTACAGGATGGACAGGAGAGCTAGGGTAAGGGAACACCTAAGCTTTCTTTACTATTCTTCTGGCAACTGCTGATTTCATATATCAATCAGTCCCTACTGCAAGGCACTCAACAACAACAACTCTAAGCCTAACAAAAATGATGCCATCTGCAAACCGGGTTCCAATGGCAAGGGCAAGTGGGGATTTGATGTTGGTGAGTATGCTTATACTTATGATGGCCACAGCTATCAGAAAGCACAGGGCAGCAAGTGAGATGGATGACGGAGAGAGTCTGGCGCGGATGTATTCTGTCCTCTGTATCTGTATTATTAACTTTGTGTGGGAAAAGTCGTTCACGAGATATGAAGTAGAATGAAGGGAATCTGATTGTGGACTTTAATCATACAGTCTCAACGGCTTGCGGGCACTAGAAGGAGCGATGACAACACTGGCAATATAGGGCATTGTCCATTACTCAGTAAAGTATATAGATACTGACTTCCTTCTATCCCAAGATTTCCTGCGGAAAACCCACCTGATGACAATTCCCCGCAAATCACAACTTTTTTTAAACGTTACATACCAAAGTCCTTGCTCGCAGAGTAGACTGTGTTTGTTATACCCCAGCCGGATGTATTGGCCCCTCACAAATTGAATGACTGAGCGACAACGACCCGAAGGGCCTTATCCGGGCCTTCGAACAATTGGTCGGGCCAAGCCGGGACCCACCCACCTTGGGTCTATCCTAAAATATATGGATAAAATTGACATCCAATGCATCTGGCTTTCCTTTGCTGAGCTTTTATGGAGAATCTAGGTATAGCGGCGGATCCTCCGGCTATACTGAGAACAAGGTCATGGTGTTAGAGAAGCATGTGGCGGCGCGGGCGCTTCTTCTACTTCCGCAAGTAGTTACTCATACCGCCCGTTTCTGTTTTCCAGTGACCTTTACTCCTCTGACTCAGCACATACTTTCCCATCATTTGACTCACCATAAGCATCTTCTCGATTATATGGGCTTTAAAATCATCAACCCACCCCCATTATTATAGAGACCATTTCGTTTTTGTAAGGCCCACAATCGGCTCTGAAGGGTCGCTAATACTAACCGTGGACAATGGGGAACTTTAATTTTGATCATACAGGGAGGAAAAAGTGTTCAAGATCTGGGGCTTGGGGCGGGGAACTCGGCCGCACTAGTAGAATAAACACTCATATAGAGTTTTAAGAACCCTGGCCACTATTTCCTTAATATGATTCTCGAGTGTTACTTCGTGAGACGCATTCCATTATCGCTGGTAGTTGGAAATGGTTCTCTTGATACTGGAGCATATTAGCGAGATATAAAGTAAAATTGCAGATAATGCAGTGCCATAGTCTGGCAGATTAACAATAGTTTATGATGATGGCTTCTTACCTCGGGGGGTCGCTACCCCAAATCTATTAGTGATGCTGGGAGTATATTCGAAGACCTGAAACAAGCTAAAAGCACAACACGAGATGAAATAAACGTTGAAACTTTGACCTCATTTATTGGATAGAGCGTATATGGCTATCAGTATAAGATAATCATTCATTACGGTAGACAACCATATGCCCCATACCCCAGGGTGGAAGACAATCTAATCTGATATGATCTAATTCTATAATTACGTTCACGCGTCACCAGCGCGTCGAATGATTGGGCTGTCAGGTAAAGTGGATTTTCGCGATTGTTTCGACTTCTCGGAGAATAGGGGGAGCTGATTGGGTACCCTATTGTAGACTAATAAGTTGCAGAATGATGACCTAAGTATTGGTGAATGATATGGTAAGGGGTGAGTCATGGGAAGGGAGGTAATGAGTGAATGACCTAGTTGGTATGAGTCTATGTGGCATGTTTGTATTGTTTTGGCTTCGTACGAGACTCCAGGTTCCCTTTATGGGCAGACGATTTCGACAGCATCAAGCCCGGCGAATATTACCGGCTCTAGCCTTAGCATGAAACGCGCGATCCTCTTCATCAATACCATGCACAGTGGTCAAGTACTGCTTGAAGTCCCTCGTCATGTTGCACACTTGCTCAAAGTCTCGCTGATCCAATGTCGGGCCGTCGTCTTTGGACTTGTCTTGCTTTTGAGAGAAACGGTACTCGGCGAGGGCAACGGCTGTTTGAAACGCTAGAAAGAAAAACTATGTCAGTTTCTTTATTTGTACGAAGAGCCGGGATGGGTAAAGACCATACCATTACGAATTTCCCGTCCATTCCATTGCATTTTGCTAATCACTTCATCCTCCAAAACATAGGACTTTGCACGTCGAGTCACAACAAAGTCATGCCGCTCGTCGGTCAACTTGTCGAAGAATTGTTCCCATATCGTTCTCCGGTTTTCTTCACTCAGATTGTCATACCGAATGACGACGTGGATTCGAGAGATGAAGGCATCGTCGAAGTGGCCGACTCGGTTAGTCGTCAGGAATAGGATTCCTCGATAGTACTCGATGCATCGGAGAAACACTTTTGTGGAGTCAAGTATGAGTTGGAGTTATCTGGGTATTACTGTATCAAACTTACCGGATACCAGACTATTGCGCTTAAGATCTGTGATCTGTCGCCTCTCGAGATAGACATCCGCCTCATCGATGAGCATGACTGCGCCCCATTGTTCGGCTAGCCTGAACCATTTGGACAATTGTCTCTCCATTACTACTTCGTCCGTACCGATGTCTCCAACGGTCAGCGATAGTAGTGCCCGTCCGGTGTATTCGGCTATACATTCTGGGTTGGGTCAGTGATGATAGCGACGTGCTGTCATTTGATCGTGTGTACGACTTACCAGCAGTCTGTGGCAGTCAGTAGGGTTCAGGTTATATCTGGAGAGGATACAACTTACAAAGGTTTTCCCCACGCCCGGACTGCCATGAA